CTAAGATCTGTCTGGGGTAAAATAGACTCAATGCTTGGTAAAAAATCTAATTCTTCCATTCCAACTCTTTGTTACAGGGATTCCACAGAATACAGCAATGAAGGAAAAGCCAATTTGTTAGCCAAGTGCTATGCTGACGGCAGTGCTGATACCAACCATACCAAAGAATTTCTAAAGAACAAGAAGACCTTCTACACCAACCACACTCCAATTCATCATTCGCCCTTAGAGGATGAACGGGATCTTAACGCTCCCTTCACCCTCGACGAGCTGAAGAAAGCACTGTACAGTAAGAAAGACAGCGCTACTGGTGAAGATAATATCAAGTACAGCATGTTAAAGGAGTTACCAATGGAAGCGTCTACAGTTCTACTAGAATTATTCAACAAATCATGGTATAATGGTACAATTCCGGAAAGTTGGAAAACGGCAATGGTCATTCCTCTACCAAAACCGCAGAAAGATAAAAGTCTATGCAGTTCATACAGGCCTATTTCTCTGACCTCGACTCTATGTAAAACATTTGAGACGATGGTCAATAATAGACTTAGATACCACTGTGAACTAAATGGTCTTATCGATCCCAACCAAAGCGGCTACAGAGAGAAACGGTCAACAATGGATCAAATCGTTCGACTTCAACACGACCATGACAGTTCGATATGGACTGGTCACAATGACCTCAATAAAGTTAAATGGCGTATGCAAACTGCTCTGAACCAAGTTGCTAAATGGGCAAACGACTGAGGCTTCTGAAGCTAAAACCGTCGGTTTGTTCTGCAGCAGAAAGAAAGATCACGACAGTATTGACCTTAGACTGAATGGTGTGAAGATTAAGCATGAGAATTCAGTAAGGTTCCTGGGAGTACACTTTGACAGGTGTCTTACTTGGAGTACGCACATTGACTATATCTGTAACCGGTCTACAAAAATCTTAAATGTTATGCGTTATGTTTCAGGTACCACATGGGGAGCAAACAGAGAAACTCTAATGATGATGTACAGGTCACTGGTTCGTTCAGTTATTGATTATGGTTGTATTGCCTATGGTAAAGCAAGTGATACTCAACTGAAGAAACTCGACGTTCTACACATGAAAGCTATACGTATTGCCACCAGGGCAGCTGTAGGTACGAAGAATGAGGCGCTACTTCAGGAGGTGGGAGAGAAACCCCTCTCTCTTCGGAGGGAGGAGCTATCTCTCAAATTCTGGGGGAAACTTCAGTATTTGTCCGAAAGCTGTCCGACGTATTCCAGCATCAGAAGATTTACTCGTGTCGGAAATAACCAGAAGAATCGGAGTATTTCTTACGGGCAAGCGGTCATTGATCTATTGAGAGAGCATCAGCTCGATCAAGTAACGATCCTTGAACGCCGCCTATCGGCTACTCCGTTTTGGAAGGTTACCAACCCGACAGTCAACACCCAGCTGATCCAGAGTACCAACAAGCACGAGAACCCAGTGGGAGCAAGAGCTCACGCTCTTGATCTCATTGATTCCGTGTACGCCGACCATTTGAAGATCTACACCGATGGTTCCAAGAGTAGTACCGCAACAGGATACGGTTTGTGCATCCCAGCAAAAGGCATCCGCATCAGTAAAAGGATTCCCCCGCACTGTTCAGTGTTCACAGCAGAACTTTTTGCCATCAGGGACGCGGTAGCATGGCTGTCCGTCAATCACACGGAGCATGCCGCGATTCTATCCGACTCGCTAAGCAGCCTCCAATCTATTTTTCTCACCTCTTCTAATTGCAGGTCAGAAGTCATTTCCGAAATAAGAAGAATGATCCACAACTACCAAACCAACAACAACCAGAAGATTGAATTAGTATGGGTTCCATCGCACGTCTCCATTCCTGGCAATGATCAAGCAGACCGTTGTGCCAAAGAAAGTCTGAGTCTGGAGGATATCGAGCCTGTAGAATACTCCTATTCGGAGTTCTGCAGTATCGTATCTTCTAGGATCAACCAGAAATGGTCAAACATGTTACGGAACCTCGACACCGCAAGATACCAGATTGATCCGAAGATACCAAACCAAACCAAACCAAACCAAACCATCCATGTGTAGCCATATGCAAAGTGGCAACCAGACTCCGGACCAACAACGTACTACGAGACCATCAGTTCAACGCCATTAAATGTCGCTGCGGCCACGTTGCCACAAGGTCGCATATCCTCATTCAATGCACTGAACTGAAACCCGCTCGTAAGCCACTACTAGAGTACCCGGAAACCAACGGCATACCACTAACCATACAGAATGTTTTGGCTCCACCCACGGACCACTGGTATACGATAATGGAACTAGTCTTCCATTTTATAACCAAATCTGTCTGAACAGATAGGCTAAGTTTTTT